CTAGATCTAAACCCTAAACCCTAAACCCTAAACCTAAACCCTAAACCCTAAACCCTAAACCCTAAACCCTAAACGAACCTGACAAGGCATATCTGGCGCGGCGGTGGCATTTTCTGTGTTTGGCGACTGGCAAGGCTCCTGCAGCACGGAAAACCCTAAACCCTAAACCCTAAACCCTAAACCCTAAACCCTAAACCCTAAACCCTAAGACCTAAACCCTAAACCCTGTACCCTCAGCTCTACGGCTGAAACCCTTCGGTGCAGCAAGCAGTGGCCCTACCGACTCCCCCACCTAAACCTTAAACTCTAAACCCTAAACCCTAAACCCTAAACCCTAAACCCTAAACCCTAAACCCTAAACCCTCACCGGATAAGATATGAGAAGGGGCCCCTGCTCATCTCCTATGATGGGGCCCTTGTCTAGGGGCTGCCGCAAACCCCCGGCGAGCCGGTACAGTTCAGTAACCACTGTGTTGTCCAGCTAAACCACAAACCCTAAACCCCAAACCCTAAACCCTAAACCCCAAACCCTAAACCCTAAACCCTGAACCCAGCACTGCTGGGCATGCAGAACGGGAGTGCACATAGACCTCCTCTGCCACACGAAATGCCGCGGCGGCTTTCATCCTGCAAGCCCCAAACCCCAAACCCTAAACCCTAAACCCTAAACCCTAAACCCTAAACCCTAAACCCTTGCCTTTGAGAAGTCTGCCTTGCGCCTAACATGAGAAATTGCCTGAATAACTCCAAACCCTCGAGCCACCAGAAAGCTGGCAGCAACACCTGGGGCGAAGATTTCGCCGCAGCTGTCAAACACCTAAACGCAAACCCTAAACCCTAAACCCTAAACCCTAAACCCTAAACCCTAATCGTAGGCCCTGAAAAAGGCCTTGGGCACACACAAGAAATGCAAATATAAAACACGTCTTTGGATGAACTGGGCCCTAACGCCATCCGTAAACCCTAAATCGCAAACCCTAAACCCTAAACCCTAAACCCTAAACCCTAAACCCTAAACCCTAAACCCTAAACCCTCACGAGTATGGCTTTGCCTTCATTGTAGGCCTGAAGCACAATTGCTGCAGCTTCTGCATAAGGAAAGTGTTTTGCGTCGACACTGAAGGTAACTTCGAAAACCCTAAACCCTAATTTTTCGAGGGTTTGGGGTTTAGGGTTTTGAGACCCTCGAGGGTTTGGCGAGGGGGGGGGACTCAGGCAAAGCACCATCTGCATTAAACAAATGAATAATTAAAAAGAATAAATGAATAAATAAATAAATAAAAATAATTAAATAATTTATCAAATAATTAATTAATTAATTAATTAAAATAAATAAATAAATAAAAGTGCAAAAGAAAGAGGATGAAGAAACCCCCGCGGCAGCAGCAGCAGACTGCGCAGCAGCAGCAACAAATGCGACGACAGCAGCAGAAGCAGCAGCAGCAGAATGTGCAGCAGCAGCAGCAGCAGCAGCAGCAAATGCAACAACAGGAGCACCCGCCATCGCAGCAGCAGTAGCAGCAGTCGCATTACTAGCAGCAGCAGCAGCAGCAGCAGCAGCAACAGCAGCAGCAGCAGCAGCAGCAGCAGCAGCAGCAGCAGCCGCATAAGCTGCAGCACGAGCAGCAGTGGACGCCGCACTAGCTGCAGCACGAGCAGAAGCAGCAGCAGCAGCCGCAACCAAGGCAGCCTTAACAGCAGCAGCAGCAGCAGCAGCAATAGCAGCAGCAGCAAAAGCACTAGCAAAAGCACTAGCAGCAGCAGCAACAGCAGCGGCAATAGCAGCAGCAGAATCACAGCAGCAGCAGCAGCAGCAGCAGCAGCAGCAGCAGCAGCAGCAGCAGCAGCAGCAGCAGCAGCAGCAAACCTCGATATTGAAGTGCCGGAGTGCCTGCGGGTTTCCGTAGGCAACCCGAGAGTCCGAAATGAACAAAGCGAAGTCAGTCGCAGGCTCCTCCTTCATCTGCAACAAACCCTAAACCCTAAACCCTAAACCCTAAGCCCTAAACCCTAAACCCTAAACCCTTGTAAGCGCTAAAACCTACTGAACCCTAAACACTAAACCCTAAACCCTGCAGCCTGACTTAATAGTGAACGAAGGCTTTGACGCGGCCTCCAGCCCGTCGCAAGGAGCCTTCACTGTCCTCTAGGGTTTAGCGTTTAGGGTTTAGGGTTTAGGGTTTAGGGTTTAGGGTTTAGGGTTTAGGGTTTACGAGTTTGGTATTTGGAGCAATGATTTCAGTGGGGCCCGGCAGCAAAATGTCCGAGTCCGTCAGCAGCAGCGAATAGCGAGGCAGCAAAGAGCTGATTCCCCCTGCAGGCAGCAGCAACAACCTAGGGTTTAGGGTTTAGGGTTTAGGGTTTAGGGTTTAGGGTTTAGGGTTTGCAGGGCCAGCCCACAGCACGCTGGCCAGTCGAAGCACTGCAGAGCTAGGGTTTGGGGTTTAGAACTTGCTGCCATCTGTTACCCGATCATGCACAGGGCTGAGGGTTTAGGGTTTAGGGTTTAGGGTTTAGGGTTTAGGGTTTAGGGTTTAGGGTTTACCGGCAAGAACTACAGCTTCTGTGTACTGCACTTCTCCGTTTTGCAAATAACGCAAAAACTGCAGCAGCAAAGGGTCGTCGTCAGCTTCCCCCACAGCCACCACCTGCGCCAAACCCTAAACCCTAAACCCTAAACCCTAAACCCTAAACCCTAAACCCTAAGCCTTAAGCCCTAGATGCTGCTGCTGCTGCTGCTGCTTTAGGAGGGCCGCAAGACTGGAGGCGGCTCAGAGCTGCGGAAGCAACTCTCTCCCTATCAACTGCAAATCCAGCACACTCTAAACCCTAAACCCTAAACCCTAGAGCACAAACCCTAAACCCTAAACCCTAAACCCTAGGGAGTTGGCTCACCCTTGCTGCTGTGTGAAGCGTTGCGCTGCAGTCAACAAAACACAATCCTCTTAACCAATAAACCTCCATCTCTAGACCCTAAACCCTAAACCCTAAACCCTAAACCCTAAACCCTGAACTCTAGACCTTAAACCCTAGAGGTACCTGCAAGGCTTCTGTCTTGGTGGCAGGGGACGCAGGACTGGGAGGGCTTTGAGGAGTGCTGCTGCCAGCTGCTGCTGCTGCTGCTGCTGCTGCTGCTGCGGTGGGAGTCTCAGCAGCAGCAGCAGCAGCTGCTGCTGCTGCTGCTTCTGTAGGTGTCCCAGCCATTGTGGTGGTTGCTGTGTCCATGTGCTGCGGAGTTGCTGTCTCTTTCTCGTCTGCTGCTTCTTCCTGCTGCTGCTGCTCCTCTTTGTGCTGCTGCTGCTGCTGCTGCTGCTGCTGCTGCTGCTGCTGCTGCTTTTGCTGCTGCTGCGGCATAGACTTTTAGGCTTAGGCTGCCGTTGTTGCTGCCGCGGCTGCTGCTGTTAGAATGTAATGGTTCCCCATGCGGAATCGCTGCTTCCGCTGCTGCTGCTGCTGCTGCTGCTGCAATTTTGCTGCTGCTCTTCTTTTATTGCCACGCTAGCTGCTGCTGCTGCTGCTGCTGCGGCTTTGACCTGCTACTTCACTTCCTCTGACGCCCGAGGACCTGCTGCTGCTGCGGATTGCTGCAGACTAGGGTTTAGGGTTTAGGGTTTAGGGTCCACACCATTTGCTGCTGCTGCTGCGGTGGAGGCAGCAGATGTTGTTGGCTGCTGTTGCTGCTGCTGCAGAAGGTCCCTAAGCTGCTGCTGCTGCTGCTGCTGTACCTGCTGCTGCTGCTGCTGCTGGAGCCGTTGCTGCTGTCGCTGACCGTCGGCTGCAGGGCACGGGGTCACACAGAGGGTTTAGGGTTTAGAATTGAGGGTTTAGGGTTTAGGGTTTAGGGTTTTCATTTCTTTATATTCAGTTAGCATACTCCTTATCTCCAAATACTGGGCAGTGTGCAGGGTTTAGGGTTTAGGGTTTAGCCTGCGAGGGAGTCGTCAGCGCTCCGCAGCAGCAGCAGCAGCAGCAGCAGCAGCAGCAGCAGCAGCAGCAACAATAACAGCTTGCTATTGAAAAATGACTTTAAAGAAACTTACCAACTCGGCCTAATTGCAGAAGCTGCTCTCAAAACCCCCCAAAGCAGAACTTGCTGCCGCTGCTGCTGCTGCTGCTGCCAGGCAGCAGCAGCAGCAGCAGCAGCAGCAGCAGCTGAGCTGGGGCCCCTCAGGGGCCTGGGGCCCAAGGAAGAGTGGCAAAAAAAGATAAAGCAAAGTGGAAAACAAACACCTAAGCCCTAGCATTGTCAAAATCCTCGGGTTTAGGGTTTAGGGATTAGGGTTTAGGGTTTAGGGTTTAGGGTTTAGGGTTTGGGATTTAGTGTTGAGGGCACCGGACCAAATCGGCCTAGGAGCCGACCTCCCACCACCACGGCTGTCGGCAGCAGCAGCAGCAACTGCAGCAGCAACTGCAGCAGCAACAACTGCAGCAGCAACAAGAGCTGCGACGCCAGCAGCAGCAGCAGCAAAGGGAACAGCAGCAGCAGCAGCAGCAGCAGCAGCAAGAGCAGCAGCAAGAGCAGCAGCAATGGCGGCGCGGAATTCCAGCGTGCCTCATCTGCTGCAGCAGATGGAGGATATTGATTTGGTACGACATGCTGCTGCTGCTGCTGTTCTGCTGCTGCTGCTGCTGCTGCCGCTGCTGCAGCTGCTGCTGCTGCTGTTGCTCCTACTGGAGTTGCTGCTGCTGCAGGGATAGCAACAGCAGCAGCAACAACAGCAGCAGCAGCAAAGACAGCAAGCACCTTCGCTGTTGCGACTGTCTGTATCAGATAGGCTTCCCATTTTAGGGTTTTGGAGCTTAGGGTTTAGGGTTTAGGGTTTAGGGTTTAGGGTTTGGGGTCTGTTCTGCTAAGGACAAACGACTCATGGCGGCGTCCGACTTGGCGGAAGCTATGATTAATAATCCTCAGGCAAGTGTTTAGGGTTTAGGGTTTGGGGTTTAGGGTTTAGGGTTTGGGGTTTAGGGTTTAGGGTCTGGGGTTTAGGGTTTAGGGTTTGGAGCGTAGGATTCAGGTTGTGTCTTCTAGGGTTTAGGGTTTATATCAGAGTTCCTAGGGCTCACAGTCTGCGATTCAGTGTTGCTTTGGGGGTTTAGGGTTTAGGGTTTAGGGTTTAGGGTTTAGGGTTTAGGGCTTAGGCGCCCTCCCCAGACACGCAGCTCAATAAAAACGCGAAAAGCGAGCGTTTAGGGTTTAGGGTTTAGGGTTTAGGGTTTAGGGTTTAGGGTTTAGGGTTTAGGGTTTAGGGTTTGCGGACTTCAGGGTATTGGCGCTGCTTGGGAAGGCCGCGCTGCAACTGCTTTCTTGCAGCAGCTCGAAGACAATTCAATAGACGTGCAGGCCAACGCGGTGAGTGTTTAGGGTTTAGGGTTTAGGGTTTAGGGTTTAGGGTTTAGGGTTTAGCGTTTAGGGTTTGGGGTTTGGGGTTTGGGGTTTGGGGTCCTGCCTCGACGATTGTTTGTCCTCCAAACGGTCTGCCACGCACTTCCAGAGCGACGCGCAAAGCTTCAGGGTCTAGGGTTTAGGGTTTAGGGTTTAGGGTTTAGGGTTTAGGATTTAGGGTTTAGGGTTTGGCGCAGGTTCGGTGTTTGCGGAGCCTCTTGAGCAGCTTTTCTCCAGGATGTTTAAATTCCATTTTTTTATTTTTGGGAAATAAAGTGAAAGACTCTTCTTCAAGTTTTCGCCACATTCACTCCACTTGCCTGCGCAGTAAACCCTAAACCCTAAACCCTAAACCCTAAACCCTAAACCCTAGCTGCTGAGCGGCGCGCCTCCGGGGGCTGAAGGCCTGAGCCTCCGCGGCAAACCCTAAACGTCCGAAACCCTCAAACGGAGGTTTAGAGGCCGAACCCTAAACCCCTGCGATCATCAAGTTTTAGGGTTTAGGGTTTAGGGTTTAGGGTTTAGGGTTTAGGGTTTAGGGTTTAGGGTTTAGGGTTTAGGGGTTTAGGGTTTAGGGTTTAGGGTTTAGGGTTTAGGGTTTAGGGTTTAGGGTTTAGGGTTTAGGGTTTGTATTTAGGGTTTAGGGTTTAGGGTTTAGGGTTTAGGGTTTAGGGTTTAGGGTTTAGGGTTTAGGGTAAGGGTTTAGGGTTTAGGGTTTAGGGTTTAGGGTTTAGGGTTTAGGGTTTAGGGTTTAGGGTTTGGGGTTTGCGCGGCAGGCTTGATGTTGGAGCTGCCCCCTTCGATTTCGTGTCCCGTCGTCTCCGTGCTGATGAGCCCGTGCGCACTCCAAACCCTAAACCCTAAACCCTAAACCCTAAACCCTAGATTAGAAACCCTGAGAGGCAAGCATGGGCATATCGTAGGCGCCACGCCGATTTCACAAACCTCTTTTTAGGGTTTAGACTTAAGGGTTTAGGGTTTAGGGTTTGTAGCTGCACTTGCGGCCGCCTAGATGCGCCTGTGTCTCGCCTGCTGCGCTCCACGGCATAGGGTCTGCGGTTTAGGGTTTAGGGTTTAGGGTTTAGGATTTAGGGTTTAGGGTTTAGGGTTTAGGGTTTGCTGCAGGCTGGTCGAGGGGATCCGCAGCTCCAACGAATTTGTCCTCCATGATAGTTTGGACATTTTGGGGGACATTTTGAGCAGCAAAGAAGCAGCAGCAGAAGATGCAGCAGCAGCAGCAGCAGCAGCAGCAGCAGCAGCAGCAGCAGCAGCAGCAGCAGACAAGGAGCTGTTCCTAAACCTCCGGCAGCTCCTCAGCACCAGATCTATAACAGCAAGAAAAGCAGCAAGATGCATCGGCGGCCTCGCTGCCACCGTGAGGGTTTAGGGTTTAGGGTTTAGGGTTTGGGGTTTGGGGTTTAGGGTTTGGGGTTTAGGGTTTGGGGTTTAGGGTTTAGGGTTTCTTTTTCACGAGGGTGTAAGACTTGCGTCCTAGAGATTCGAATTCTCCTCAGGAATTGGGCAGTGGAAACACTTGGGCTGTAGTTCTCAAATGAGGGTTTAGGGTTTAGGGTTTAGGGTTTAGGGTTTAGGGTTTAGGGTTTAGGGTTTGCTGCAGCTTCCTGCGGATGAGCTCTCTGCCCTCGTCTGCGAGTTGATGAATTGCTGCTGCTTAGCAGTGGGCCCTTTGGAGGCGCTGGCAGAGGTGACGCGGCACTGCAGCAGCAGCAGCAGCAGCAGCAGCAGCAGCAGCAGCAGCAGCAGCAGCAGCGATGGCGGCAGCAGGTGCTTCCCCGCCCTGCTGCCTTCCATTTGCTTATTTCTATACCGAGCAATAGCAGCCATTCTGAAGGCTGAAGAAAGTGCTGCAGGCAGCAGCAGCAGCTCCCGTTCTGCTGCCCACAGCAGGCGCCCCTGAGGCCCTGAGGGAGCAGCGCGAGGCTTTGCTGCTGGCAGCTCTTGCTGCTCTGGAGCCAGCAGCAGCAGCAGCAGCAGCAAGCAGCAGCAGAGCAGCATGGGCAGCATTTGATGCTGCAGTGCTGCTGCTGCCGCCGCTGCTGTGCTACAACCCCAACATGTATGTTGCTGCTGCAGCTGAGCAGCAGCAGCAGCAGCAGGAGGCGCAGCTGCTGCTGCTGCTGCAGCAGCAGCCCCACAACCAGCAGCTAGTGCAGCAGCTTCTGCAAGGCAGCAGCAGCAGCAGCAGCAGCAGCAGCAGCAGCGAGGAATTTGCTGGATTTGACCCTGGCTGGTCTCTTGAGGAATATTTAGAAGCAGCAGACAACTCCTGGAAACTCCGCGTGGCTGCACTCAAGGCAAACCCTAAACCCTAAACCCTAAACCCTAAACCCTAAGCCCTAAACCCTAATTCCTAAATCTTGACTGCTCATGCTAGCGAGCCAAACGCGGAGTCTTGCATCAACGCTAGTTTATACACGCGTTGCTAAGGCCCCAAGGGTTTAGGGTTTAGGGTCTAGGGTTTAGGGTTTAGGGTTTAGGGTTTAGGGTTTAGGGTTTGTGTTTTCACGGCAGGTAGTGGCCGCCATACTCAAAACCCCTGCGGACTGCCGCTGCTGCAGCTTTGCTGTTCAAGCTTTTGCTGCTGCTCTTGTGAGGCAGCTGCAGCAGGACGAGACCTGCGTAGTGACGCAGGCAAGCCCCAAACCCTAAACCCTAAACCCTAAACCCTAAACCCTAAACCCTAAACCGTGGCTGAGGATGGAGGAGTCTGGCTGGGTCTGGAAAAGACCCTGGCTTCGCGCTTCTGCGCAAGCCCCAGCCGCTAAACCCCAGACCCTAAACCCCAAGCCCCAAACCCTAAACCCTAAACCCTAAACCCTAAACCCTAAACCCTAAACCCTAAGTTCTTTGCTGAGACGCAGGTAATAGAGCTAGTTCGCCGGCTGCTGCGCTTAGCCCTTTCTGGGGGCCCCCCTTTGCTGCACTGCGAGACGCCGGCGCTGCTGTGGGC